GGCGTGCTCCGTCCCGGCTTTGTAGGGATGCGAGGTCAATGGTCTAACGACTACGGCATGCACGACTATGAGTACCCCCCCCCCCGCACGCATTTGCCGAGAGAGAGGAACAGAATCTAAGAAATGAAACCAAGGGTAAGGAGGGCCTGGAAGTGTACGAAATGTTAAAGGAAGGAACACGGTTCAAGGAGTGGACTAATGGATGCAGGGACAAAGCTGAAGGTCAAATTCAGGACCGGGGACATTGGCCTTCAAGAACGAAGACGAAGATATAGGAAGGTAGACGATAGATGAAGACAGGTTCAAATGCGATTGCGGCTCCGAGCGAAGATCGTGTTCATGTAGTCGCGGAATGTCCGTTGCGCAAGAAGGAGAGGGAAGCGTATACGACTGAGCTGGGAAAAGTGGAAGGAAGGTCAGGGAGATGTTTGAGGCATGGAATAGCCAGGATAAGACGGCAGCACAGGAAGTAGGTTGAAAAGGCGGGAAGTGATGTCGATAGGATGGATAAGCTAGGGAAACGTTTTGAGCCACCTTTGGCAAAGTAGGAAGGAACGATTGGCCATCGGTAATCGGTCCTGTGGGAACAATGCGCCGCCCTCTTGAGGACGCGTAGTTAACGGTCTAATCAACCAGGCGTGCAAAATGATCACACACCCCCGCAAACGCCGACAATACCCTCACATGGCAGGCCCCGCAAGCGCAGAGTTGTTCACCAGGTGGCACCCCCATTCCAGCTTGGCGCCCTCGACGGCATACACGGCACCCCCGTCCACGCCGCGGTGCCCCACGACGCTCGCACCCGTGCAGTAGGCGTTCCCCGACCCCTCCTTATACAGAAAACCCCCGAAGTCGGCCTCGTTGTTCGTGAAGGTTCCTTGCGTGATCTGTGCGATTGATGTTGGTGTGTACCGGGTCTTGGTTGTCATAATGGATGGGGGCTCGTTGTTGTTTCGAGACCCGTAAAGCCCCCCTTCTTTCCATGCCCGTCTGTCTATCAGACTGCCTGTCTGTCTGCCAATCTGTCTGCCTCTCCTCTCTCTCCACTCTACACCTCACACCAGTATGGCCGTCTGTCCATCCGCCTGCCTGTCTTGTCTGTCTCTCCTCTCTCTGCTCTCTACACCTCACGTCAATGTGCGTGTCTGCCCGTCTGCCTGCCTGCCCGTCTGCCTGCCTGTTTTGCTCTCTGTCCTCCACCTCTCACGTTAATGTGTCCGCCTTCCTCCGCAGCGAAGGCGCCGCCCCCGTTACCAGCAAGGTTAGAGTCGAAAACGCCTCCTTCCACTTCCACCGCCGCCCCCTCGCCCACGAACACCACGCCTCCGTCCAACGCCTCGTTACCCTGGAAGAGACCACCTTGACAAGACCGAGACCGAGATTGAGCAGGAATGGCTACGGATAAAATTGGAAAACACCTCCATCTAGGCTGGTGGAGTCAACAAAACTGCATCCTTTGCGAAAGGGGGATATACATACGGCAGTATGGCTGCGACAGACGAGGGTGATGTGACGAAGTCCCTTGACCCTCTTATATCGGAGGCCCCATAAATACCTAAATAAGAGGGTACCCAACCAGCGGGTAGGCACACACGCCGGACCATAAGCGGACGTAAGTCAATCCTCCTCAAAAAAAGCCCAACATTCTTGAAAAAACACCAAGAAATCGTTTGTAACCCAGTGCTTAATAAGTCATGTTGTAAGTCAATCCTCCTCAAAAAGCCCAACATTCCTAAAAACACACCAAGAAATCGTTTGTAACCCAATGCTAAATAAGTTATGTTGCAAGTCAATCCTCCTCAAAAAGCCCAAAATTCTAAAAAACCACGAAGAAATCGTTTGTAACACTTTGCTACATAAGATATGTTGTAAGTCAATCCTCCTCAAAAAACCCGACATTCTTAAAAAAACACCAAGAAATCGTTGGTGTAACCCTTTGCTAAATAAGTTGTGTTGCTTTTCGATGCAGACGATTTCAGTGCAACGCGAATGAATGTTGCCGCCTGGTATGAACGCTACATAGTTCGACGTCCCGTGGCTACGATAAAAAAAACGCACACAACAAATAGAAATAACCACAACACCGCCGTCAACAACAACAAAGGCAACGACGAGGGGAACGAAAACTACCATCAACGACAACACCACCATCATCAACGACAACACCACCATTATCAACTACGACAACGTTAACCACCACCAGCACCAGCACCACCACGAAGAACAGTCTGTCGTACCTGCAATAACGATCTTGCTTTCCTCCGAAGCAAACACTACTCCTCCCGATTCCGCCCCATCGTTTCCCGAAAATTTTCCCCCGAGGATGGTCACGTCGCCCCTGGTCCAGATCACGCCGCCACCCTATTATTCCGGTAAAGGTTTCCGACAAATAAATGCAGGCAGGTTTCAACAAAAGCAGTAGTTAGACTGGGGTGAGAACGGCGGAAATGAGTTGCGGGATATCGAAACTCTGTTGAGGAGGCTCCTTGGCTAAAGTTGTCCAATGGACGCGCAGCCTTCACAAGGAGTTAAACTACAGCGCACCTTACTTCGCCGCCGAATATTTTATGTTGTTGTCACCAGCATCAAGAAACCGACAGGTTGAAAGACGACTTGTACGAAGCAGATTGTCGAAACCGCCGCATAGCATACTAGACAAACAAAACAACGTTACAACAACAGTGACGGAGAGACCCAGCCCTACTGCAACGCGAACAAAATTAAACGGAAACAAAAACACACAAAAAAACCGATAGGAAGGCAAGCAAGCACAAACTCAACAAACCCATCGTGAGCGTTTTTGCGCTAGGCTCGTACCGTACTCCGTCAGCATGTCTTTTGGCGATCTACACTTTTCTTCCACTCTATTTTCAGTATAATAACCAAAGTCGACATGAAGAAGTACAAGGCGATCTTGCTCATCGGCCGCCTCTCTCACATCCGCAGCCTCGTTGCCGAAGAAGGTTCCCCCCTCGATGACGATGGTCGTGTTGGTGGTGGCTCCGAGCACCGCACCGTTCTGGCCGCACTCGTTTCCCGCGAAAACGTTGCCGTCTCCCTCCACAAAGAGTGTGGCGAACTCGCCGAGGTTCACCACGCCGGCGTTGTCGAGGTGGGCCCTGGGTGGTGTTGTTGTTGTTGTTGTTATACTTGTGGTCCCGCGCAAAGAGCCAGCGTTCCTTGCAAGCACGCGCACATGCGTGCCTCCAACCGAAAAAATGCCTGCTACAGCAGTTTCGTCCTTCGGTTGTACTGTGCTTAGCGGGTCTGAGGCCTGAGCTGCGTCACTTGTCGGGAATTTGTGCAAATGCTTGCTCCAGTCCTTATGTTTTCATAAAGCTGAGCCTTCATGAAACTTGTTTCAATATAATAATAAACTGGATGGGATGATAATAATGAATACATCGCAGAATCATGCGGGCGCGGGGGGGGGGGG